TAACGCCACGCACCTCCATCCAAAAAAAATTCGTCCCCACCCCCTGAGAAAACTTTCTGAGTACGCCGCTGGGAGTTACTGTTATTATCTATATACATAATAGGATATAAGTGATAATATTACAATACTTCGATAATTAATGTAATTGAATCTGGAATCTTGTATGCCACACCTTTAAATTTGAAAGGACTCTCTTACTCATTTTCCAACAACTTTGCTTTTGGAACGATTTGTAGACACATTTTACTCTCAAACAGGCATACTTCTCAGTGTTCGAAAGTTGAGTCTTACTACTCTCTTTCCTTACAAAGGGGCTTCTGGGAAAGCCTGTAAGTACTAAAAACTTTTACTCCGTCTAAGCGCAGGAGCGAAACGGAGCTTTGTTGTTATTTGCACATAAAGAATTGAAATCGTCTCTTGTTGTTACTTATGCGTTATTGTTTTCTTACTCAAGTGTTTTACTGAAGCTATTTTTTGTGTGAGTTTGGAGCACATACCAGTGCTTGACTTTATCCATCTGGGTTGGCTATTCAGGAGCGCTGAAAGAATATATTAAACTAGTCACTCTCATGCTCTCATCAGAGGTAACGACGTTATGAAAGCTTCTTTGAATAAAAATAGACCACTTGAACAGATTGTTTGCATTGAGCATTTGTATTTATTGTTTACCAGGCAATGACAGTTTTCTAGAGAAGAAACGAACAAAACAATGTTAATCAAACACGACGTATCAAACTCAGTTGATAACAGCGGAAGTGGCCATTTCTTGAATGCCACACACGTTCTTACCTCGGTAAAGTCTAAACATCCGGTTTTATTTTCAAGAATTTTACTTATAACCAAGTGCTCACCTGTAATACCCGCTTTCACCCCACTTTGGACCCCACGAATTCTTAATGATCCAATAGGGCTTGCTCTTCTCGGTACCGTAGCCAACAATCAGAACACCGTGGTTAAGCATAAAGGGCTCGCAAACGATCTTCCATGGATGAGAAATACCATGACGATAAAATTGCAAGTTATTTGCATTGATTCCTG